CTGCCTCTTGGTCCAAGTATAGGTTTCGTATTAGCACAATTAAATGTTCTGGGATTCCCATTCTTCTCAGAGTCAGCCACAGTTTGTTATGATCATATACAAAATTTATTCTTAATTTATAGTCAAGGTTTAGAAACTTGTGGTCGGCGAGTTCCAAATAGTTTCATTCCACCTCTAAACTTCGTCACTTTTACTGATATTGTAATTTTCAAATGTATGATATGTTTACACATGTGCCCTGCATTTAATCTGTCTTGTTCCTGTTCTGATTTTTTGTTGAGTCTCCTTCCTGTTTGTCCAAAGCTAGGATACTTCAGGCCCATGTACAACTGAAAGCAGAGGCATTCTTGAGCTTTAAAGATTGCAAAAATTGAAAAATGCAACACACCATATGTCTAGTAAAAGGTCTATTTCCATGTCTTTTTAAAATAATATTTTTAAGTTTTAAAATTTGATTAAAGAATAAAAAAAGAAAACCAATGCTTTCAGATTTGTTCTTGTTTTCACGAATTCCTTCATTTCCTTCTTTTCTGCAAAGGATGAAATGTCTCCTTCCTATCTGATGGAGAACTTTGCTGGGTACAGGATTCTCAGTTGGCAATTGTTTCCTTTCAGTTTTGTTTATATGCCATCTCATTGTCTTTTTCTCGCATAGTTTCTGCTGAGAAACCAGAACTTAATCTTATTGCTTTTTCTTTGTGGGTGACTCTTTGTCTCATGTTGCTTTTGTTGCTTTTAGTATTCCTTCCTTATCTTTTATTTTGGAGAATTTGACTATGATATGTCATATATGCATATTAAATATATTGACTCAAGATTTGTCTCAGATGTTTTGCTAAAACTTTCATGGGTATCAGTAAAAACAGTTGTTGTGCGGGATAAAAACTGTTAGGTTTTATTTTTTTCTGTATTTCTTTGCTTTTCCTTTTAAAATATAGATACTATTTGGTGTTTATATTCATAGCAGCAGTGTTCAGAATATTTCAATTCTTTAGTGTTATACAGACATAAAGCTTTATTTCAGATAGGATATAAAGGAATGAATGAAAATAAAACAGACTGATCAGTATCACTGAAAAGATCTCTCACAGAAATCACATCATAGTCAGGCATTCATTTACATGCACACTCATCACAATCTACAAATGGTTCTAAGCTATTTCAGGGACTCATTTATAGAGATTTTTTCTATTGAAGTATAGTCTGGGGAGTTAAGGAAAAGAAATTGCTTCCTCTGAGATTGAGAAATTAACAATTGAGAAAAAGAGTCTTACTTGCTCTTAAAGTAGAATGCTGCACAGAACATGCCCACGATGACAATTCCAAAGATGATACATGAAATTGACAGCACTTGCCTTTGATAAACTTCTTCACTCTCTGTGAATTTGAAAAACAGAATTAGAGTGGATATTAGTGGTCATAACTGGGAATATTCTCATACTTCTAATTCTAAGCTGATAGGAAACTTGAAAATCATATTTTTGTTTCTGTTACAAATCTTAAAAAACTAGGAGGATATTATTAAAATTCTATCTTTTAACAAATGTCCATAAAAGAAACTAAAATTTATCTTAGTTAGTATGACCAAATAAGAATGTATACACAGATATCACAATTATTAATTTTATTATGAGAAGTAACCTGTAAACTCTGGTTATACTGGTAGGTAAGCATTTTGAAATCACAATGGAGACTTAAAAGATCATTTTTGTTGTTGTTGTCAGGTGCTGTCGTGTCATAGACAACTCATAGCGAACCTATGAATGAAAGACCTGAACACTTATATAACTTTCATCGTTTCTCCACACTCATATAGTTTCCGTAGGCAAGCTATTTTGGAAGTGGATGCCACTCCTGCTTCCATGCTTGTTTTAATCGGGGAGCTCCACCAAACTCTGTCCACCCTGGGTAACCATTATAGAAATTGACACATTAATGTCACAGCGATCTTGAGTTAATACCAGAACCAGAAAACAAATTTCTGTAGAATCTGGCCTCTCCAGATGACTTCCAACCTGGATTCCAGCCCCATACTCCTGACCAAATATGTTTTTAAATAGGAAGCTGAATACAATCAACTCATAACCAACAGCAAGTCAATATTCCAGCCGAATCCTCACCAGAACCAGAAAACAAACTTCTGTAGAATCTGGCCTCTGAACAAATATGTGTCCATAGGGATCTACCTATGTCAATGATGATTCTTTGTTAGTTTTAGAATGATGTTGATGCCTTGGAGGTTTGTGATTGAAATTTCCTTTTGGCTGGTAACTTCCCATCAAGTCCAAGGCTATGATGTACTTCTAGTTGGAATTGACTCACAGTTGACTCCCACGTAGGTTTTCAGTGACTCTAAATAACACAATTCATTCCCCATCTTTCTCCTATCCACAGCTGGTGGATTTTAACTGCTTATCTTTTGGTTGGCAGCACAAATCCTTATGCACTAGGCAGCAGAGATCCTTTTTTTAATGACAGACAACTTTGATACAAAAAATAATCCATTCATCCATTTCAAATTTCCTAAAACCAAGGATCTACAGAGTACATTTCAGTAACCATTGCCAGGGTAACAACTTGTACCTTGTCATTATAGAAATGAAAGTAATTGGAAAACAAACATTCCACTTTTTAGCCATTAGGAGGTCACTTTCTTATTCCTATGAAAGTTCTTCAATCTAATCAAGACTATTTCGTCAATAAACTCAGTACTTGTTGCATGCTGATTTGCCTCCTTTCTCAATATATGTTTTCTTTATCCAGCCCCAAGACCACTGGTTTGTGATTGTAATTATTCACTATCTTGTAAATATTTTTAACATGTGCCTTTGTTCCTCAACCCCCAACAATCTGGAAATAACTGTACAATTCAAGAAATGGATTCCTAGAGATTGACTGTTTATATAAATATGCAAAATTGACTATTATTGCCTGTTTCTCCATCCATTTTCTTATTAAGTGACTTGTACCTTCTTTGTAGCATTCAAACCATGTGGTTACTCTTTCTCCTCTGTCAGATACTATTTTGTATGTCATGCTGAAGAGCGGACTTGCTAGATGAATTAGGGATCTCTGGCCCACATTTGGGAGTGCCGGAATGGTAAAATACTGAAATGTATGGCCATGCCTGGAGGATAAGGGCGAGTGTATCTCCTGAGCCTCAGTGTTAGCTAGATGGACATGGCCTCTTGAGCCTGGAAGAGGGGCAAGTAGGGAAAGCTGGGGTGTTCGTGGCTTTCTTTTTGCCCCAAGTGGGTGGCCAAAGAGTGGACTTGCCAGATGAATTAGGGGTTTCTGGCCCAGAGTTTGCCAGCGTTTGGGCATACCGGAATGGTAAAATACTTGTGGTTGCTGTGAAGCTGAACACTGTGACATTGATGTGTCAAATGCTGTAATGGTTACCCATGGTGGACAGTGTTTGTTGGAGCTCCCCAATTAAAACAAGCTTGGAAGCAGGAGTGGCATCCACTTCCAAAACAGCTTGCCTCCAGAAACCCTATAAATCCGGAGAAAGGATGAAAGTCATGCAAGTATTGAGGACTTTCTTTCATAGGGCCTCTATGAGTCGCCTACAACTCCACAGCACTTAACAACAACAAACATATGTATATGTATAAAAACATGGAGTATGGAGAATCTAATGCATCTTTGTTATGATTGTTTTCTTTTATCTCATTAGTGCAGAACAGAAGGTTTACTCTTACTGTGGAGTCACCATGGGACTACTGAAGAACAGATTTTTTTTAATACTATGTGGTTTATAATTGCTGACTTAATAGGTCCAGACTGGAGACAGACATTTGCATCTTTGATAAGTTTCCAAATGATTCTTGGGACCTCATTTCAGAACAGTTGAACATAGAAGTTATCAGATCTGAAGAAAGAACTACTCCATATTTTATGTTAAATTTATGGACTCATTTTAGAGTTTTTGAGTCTTCTAAGTATCTTGTTTTAAAAATATTTTTAGATAGTTCTTATTTATAGTACAGACTGATCTTGGCTGAAAGTAGATAATAGCAGAAGAATATCTATTTGTGTTTTACTGAGTATGCAAAGGCATTTGACTATGTGGATCATATCAAATAATAGCTAACATTAAGAAGAATGAGAATCTTCAGAATACATTTACTCTTGTGAAACTTATTCTTATAATAGATTGAAGCTGTTCAAAAAGCAAAGGAAAATGTCATTATTTAGAATTAAGGAAGGTGTACATCAAGGCTCAAGTTTTTTTCTCCATACCTATTCAATCTATATTCTGACCAAACAATTCAAGAAGTTGGACTCTATGAAAATAATATGACATCAGCATAGGAGGAAGACTTAGCTACAATCTGTGCTTTGCAGATGACACAACCTTGCTTGCTTAAGTGAAAAGGACTTGAAATGCTTGCCGCAGAAGAGCAAAGACTATAGCCTTCAAAATGTATTACATCTCAACATCAAGAAGACCAAAACCATCACCACTGGGCTAATGGACATCATCATGGTAGATGGAGAAAAGATTGAAATTGTCAATGATTTCACCTTACTTGTATATAAAATAAAAAATCTGGGAGCCAGCAGTAAATTGTGTTGGCAAAGTCTGCTGTTGGGAATATATTTCAAGTACTAAGAAGGAGAGATATCAGTTTAAAGTCAAAAGGGTGACTGATTCAGGGTAAGAGAGCTGGACAATGAAAGGATGAAAGAAAAGTTAATGCTTTTTAGTAGTGGTGTTGGAGGAAAGTGCTGAAGATCCTATGGACTGCCCAAAACATATGTCTTGGAAAAAGTTCAACCAAAGGGATCTTTGGATGTAAGGATAGAAAATTTTGTCTCACATACTTGGACATATCATTAAGAGGTGTTATTCCTTCTGAAGGAATTGGAAAAAAACAAGGCCTCAAGAATTAATGGCATATCATTTGACATATTTCAGCAAAGAGATGCTGCTGTGGATGTATTCACCAAGTTATGCCAAGAACTGGCCAACTGACTGGAAGAGATCCATATTTGTTCCCATTCCAAAGAAAGGTGACATGACAGAGTGAGGAAATTATCAAACAATATCATTAATATTACATGCAAGCAAGATTCTGCTGAAGATAATTCAAAAACTATTGGAACAGCATATCAATAGAGAACTACCAGAAGTGCAGGCTGGGTTTAGATAGGGTCATGGTACAAGGGATATTGTAGCAAATATTAGATGGATATTGGCTGAAAGCAAGGAGTACTAGAAGAATGTTTATCTTTGTTTCATTGATTATGCCAAAGCATTTGACTATGTAGATCATAACAAATTGTGGATAACTCTGAGAAGAATGGAAATCCCAGAACACTTGACTGTGCTAATACAAAACCTATGCTTGGATCAGGTGGCAGTAGTCAGAACAGAGCAAGGAAATACTGCTTGGTTCAAAATTGGGAAGGGTATACGCCAGGGATATATCTTATCTCCATACCTTTTCAATTTTTATCAGATTCAATCCACAGATTATCTGAGAGGCTAGGCACTATGAGGAGAAATGTGACATCAGGAATGGAGGAAGACTCATCAACAACCTGCGTTATGCAGATGACACAACCCTGCTTGCTGAAAGTGAGGAGGACCTGAAGCGCTTGCTTCATAAGGTCAAGGACTTCATTATGGATTGAGGCGCAATATCAAGAAGACGAAGATTCTCACCACTGGGCCAATTGGCAGCATCACAGTGGATGGTGAAGAGATTGAGATTGTTCGGTTTTGGTTTGCTTGGCTCCACAATCAACACTCTTGGCACCAGTAGCTAAGATATCAAAAGACTTATTGAGAAAGAGAAGTCTGTGGTTAGATACCTCTCAAAAGTACTGAAGTGCAAAGATGTCATTCTGGAGACTAACGTGCGCCTGATACATGCCATGGTCTTTGTAATCACTCACTATGCATCAGCGAGCTTTGGACAATGACTAGGAATGAAAGATGGAGAATTGATGTCTTTGAGCTGTGTTGCTGGAGAAGAATATTGAACATACCATGGACTGTTAAGAAAACGAACAGGTTTGTTCTGGAGAGGGTAAAGCTGGGCTGCTCCTTGGAGGCAAGAATTCTGAAGTTTCATCTGATATACTTTGGACATGTTGCAAGGAGGGACCAGTCCTTGGAAAGGGACATCATGTTTGAGAGGGTGGAGGGACAGTGCAGGAGAGGAAGATCCTCGATGAGATGGATCAATTCAGCAACACGTGTAATGGGAATAGGTGTGTCAGAGATAGTGAGATTGGCACAGTATAGGATGGAGTTTAGGGCTGTTGTACATAGAGTCATTTTGAGTTGCAGGTGACTCGACGGCACATAACGATAACATAACGATGTTGCCTATCTGTCCAGTGGTGATGATTTTTCTCGAAGT